CCATAAATGGAGGTTTAATTAATTCAGTCACGAAGGATCTGAGGTATGGAGGTGGCTTCAGTGAAAGAGCAGTCACCGGACCAGGAGAGAGACCCGAGGTCTAGTCCTGGCAAAACTTCGGACGTGCAATACAGTCTTCTGGGCACGGGAATAGGGAGGGTTCTGCTAAGGGCTCTCTCAGGGAGGCGAGGGGCCGTGGGGGAGGCACCTGGTGCAGAAGCCGCACACTTGGGTTTGCTGCCCAGTAAAGGTTAGAGGAACCAACCGTACCTGGCCCCACAAAGTGTTCCATTAATGTTGTCTCCTCCCTTACCGATAATAACACGTATTTGGTTCTCACTGAACTCCAGATACTGTTCTAAATGTTGTGTGAATATTAACTCTTTAATTTTCATGACAACCCTCTGAGACAGGATTTCTATAATAATTTCCGTTTCAAGATAGAGGTGCGGAGCCACGGGAGGTGAGGGGACACCCAAGGTCATAGTGCACTAAGTGCAGGAGCTGGGATCCACCTCCAGGCAGTGTGGCTCCTGAGTCGGTGCTGCACGCACTAGGCCACGAGGCAACGCTGAGCTCCTTGTGTAGCTGATGAACAAGGGCAGTTCGGCTTCTCAGAGGCCAGGAGGAGGGTTTGGGGCAGCAGCGGGTGGTGAGAATCAGCCGCCCCAGCACCAGGCAGAGCCTGGAGGAACTCGGAGCTCTACCTCCCTCACCACCACCAGCTTCCTGAGCTCTGCGATAACGTGACTTCACTCTACTCCCAGCAGCAGGTGTGCCAGCAGCTCGGCAGTGAGAACCTCGGTCCCAGCCAGATGGGAGGACCAGGCCCCACATGTCGGATCCCCTGCTCAAGGTCACCGAGCCAGTTAATGAGGAAGAAGTTAACAGAGCTGAAATATCTCAGGCATCATCTTGCCAGATCTGGGGCCCTCCTGCCCTCCGCTTAACTGGGTGGGCAGGGAAGGGACCCCGGGGAGAGCTGGGCCTGAGGCGGAAAGCCCAGCTGAGTCCAGTGGGGCTGTGGTCTAGGCTGTCCCCGAGGGGCTGAGAGACCCTTGGGAAAGACTATGCCTCAGTCTCTCTTCAGCAAAGGGGGAGAATGATGACTGGCTTCAGCCGCCTGAAGGAGGAAGGAATCAAGTGTTTCAGGGGACAGTTTGAGACAAGGAAAGACAAGGGCAGGATTTGGGGACGGGTCCTATGCTGCGTCTGCTGTGAATCAGCTGTGTGGCCTGGGGTAAGCCATTTCACTTCTCAGAGCCTCTACACCCTCTTGTAAAACACACATTGATTATTGTGGGGAGTCCAGAGTGCTGCGTTTTTCTAGGCATGACCTTGGCCTTCCAGCATTTCTCATTGCTGAGTAGGGTGTGTACAGGCTTGTGAGGCCCGATTCAGAGCCCCATTCTGCCCCTCTCTGGCTTTATGACTTTGAGGCTCCTCTTTCTGAGCTTGGATTTAGCATCCCAAAGCCAACGCAGCATGTGTTCCTCACAACAGCCCCAAAAGAGAAGCAAAATAATCCCACTTTACAGATGTGGAAAACGGCACTGCAGATCCAGTGTTAGGCCTCAAATAGCTCATGGTTTAAAGGGAAAGAAACAAATATAACTCAAATCTGTAACACATCAGGTAACAAAGGTGATTATCGGGTAGCCCACACTGCAGCAATGAAGCAGAGGGCTGCAGGAAGTGGGCCAGAGCCCCACGGAGGACAGCTGAAATAAACCTTGGGAGGTGGAAGGTGTTTGCCAGGTGGCAAGGAGCGGCAGGCGGAGGAGCAGCAGGTGCAAAGGCCCAGTGGTGGAGAGAGGACCATCCATTCAGGGATTAAGATGCATGGGGCTGCAATATACTGTGTTGGCCAAAAAGTTCATCTCTTTTTTTTCCATAAGATGGCTCTAATAGCACTTAGTTGTCTTTAACTTCATTCAAAAAAATATCATTAGATTGTATTGTGACAGCTGTCATATCAGCATGCATTAAAAAAACATCAAAATTGGTAAATTTTTGTGTAACCATTTTAAAATTGAAGATGGAAGAAAATACCTGACATTTTTGGCAGATTATGCTTTTTTATTTCAAGGAAGGAAAAAAGGCAATTGCAAGGTGAAAAATAGATTTGTGCAGTGTATGGAGAAGGTGCTGTGACTGATCAAATGTGTCCAAAGTGGTTTGCCAAGTTCTGCCCTGGAGATTTCTTGTTGGATGATGATGCGCTACAGTTGGGTAGACCAGTTGGAGTTGATAGCGATCAAATCAAGACAGTCATTGAGAACAATCAATGTTATACCATGTGGGAGATTGCCCACATACTGAAAATATCCAAATCAATAAAGTTCATTATTGGTGAAAATGAAAAACATGTCTTTTATTTTACAGAAAAAAACCATATGAACTTTTGGGCCAACCCAATAATGAGGCTGAGGCCCAAGAAAATGGCAAGAGCCAGACCGTGATGGGTCGTGAGTGTCCTGCCGAGGAGTTTGGAGTTTATCTCGAGTAGGAGGCGGGGAGGCACTGAAAGGCTCTGCCAAGGAGTAGAGGCTCTGCCATTGACTGAAAGCCCGCAGGGCAGCACCGACTCCATCACCTGGGCCCTGTGCAGACTCCTTTTCAGAAGGGCAGGGTGAACAGAGAGAGCACCTAAGCTCTGCTCCACTCTGTGCCTCAGGTCTCGGCTGTAAAAGGGGGCGGTGACCCTGCCTTCTGTCTGCTGCGCACAGAGGAGGTGGGCGTGGGAGTTGAAGCTCCTGGAGATGAAAGTATTGATGGTAAGGCTACTGCCTTTTTACAAACAAGGACAAAACAGTTGCATCCGATCAGCTGGGGGAACAGGTCTGCTGCCAAGTTTAGTAACAAACAGATGGTTGCAGCGAAGGGGTTGGTAAAGCCAGGAGGGACCTGGGAGAGGTTGTTGCAAGGACAGTGCTGGAAGGGAGAGAGGCTGTAAGCGAGGATGCCAGGGAGCGAGCTAAGGAGACTGGAGCCAGGAGCTGGGACACCCCAGCGGTGCCTCGCCTGAGCTGCTGGGCCTGGGCAGCCAGTGCCTCTCCCTGGAGCTGTCTCCTTGCCTGCAACACAAACGGAGGCAGTCGTGCCCAATCCCAGCACTGGAAGAACGTGAGTGGGGAAAATAAACCCCACGTTTATTTGCATAGTGCCTTACAGTACAAAGCAGATTATCTGCTTCGTCTTCTCAGCCTCCCACGAGGAAGGAGGGACATCTGCTGAGTGTCTGCTGTGTGCCAAGTCCGGGACTAGGTGTTTGTTTACGCTCGTCTCGTGCCAGCTTCATCACAGCCTCCTATTGGGATAGGCATTGTTTTCCCAATTTATTTTACATTTGAGGGAACTGAAGTCACACTGCCAGGATGTGGCAGAGCCGACGTGTGACCCCCAGATTGCCTGATGGCAATTCCCCGGATACTTGCACGGCAGCAGGCGCCCCTCCTCTAGCCATAGGACCTGGCTTTCCCTACCCCTTTGACCTCACAGCCATTTCAAGACTAAAATGAGATGAATTACTTAACTTCTCTAACCTTTGGTTTACTCATATGTAAAAATATAGTTCAGATTAGTTTCTCTGACGTTGAAAAACTCATATAATGAAAATAAATTAAATCAAATTAATGAAACTAAAATGAAGTCCGCATTTTATTTTACACATTACAGTGCTTGGCACGTGGATAGTATCATGTCTTCACATATAACACACCCACTAGAGAAGCAGAAATGCAAAAGCACAGCCAAGAACGTGGACACTGGAGACTCTCACACACACCACCTGCGGCAGCGAAACGCCTAGTAAAGTGAGAGGCACGTGTCTTACGGTCCAGCAGTTACAGGCCCTGGTTCAGTCCCCTAGAAAGGATTTGCACTTGTGCACAGGCGGCGTGTATGAGAACACTTGTATCAGCATGGTTTGCAAGAAAACACACAGTAGACAAATCAGGTGTCCACCTCAGGAGAACAGATAGGTAAGTTCAGGTACAGAGAGACATGGAGTAGAAACACGGTGAAAACACGTGAACAACAGCTACCTTCACCGGCAGGGATATCGGGTGAAAACCACCGGTGTCCATACATACAGAACGATGCCAGTTTTATGAAGTTCAAAGCCATGTAAAACTAAAAAATACATTGTTTAGGAAAGCGTCCATGTTTGGTAAAACTGTTAAGAAAAATCAATACAAGATTCAAGTCGATGGTTATTCGTGCGAGGGGGAAGGTAGGAAGGAGGATAAAGACTTAAAAGGAATTGATAATATTCTGCTTCTTAAGCTGGGCATTCATTAAATTGTTTTTTATATTGATATATTATTTACTGAGTATAGATTGTTGACTAATTGATACATATATATGCATGCGTACATACACTTTACATTGCTGACTAATGAAGTGCATTTTATGAAATATTTAATAATAAAATGTAATTATGAAGAGATATATTTGAGAAGAGAAATTACATCTTATTTATCTCTGGTTGTCTGATACCAGGGATGCTTCCTTGCTCACAGTAGGTATTTAAAAAGTTGTTTGTGAAGTGAACAACTGAATAAATAAGTAAGTAAAAATCTTTAGTGCCGAATTCCCCAGTTCACCACCCACTCTCCCACCAACACTCGCCTCCCACCAAACAGGCGCTGTCGGTGTGAACACCAAGGGAAACACGCAACATGGAGCCGAGAGTGTAGACGACCCTGCGCGGCGCATCCTCAACGGAGCACACGTCAGAGAACTGCAGACGGTCCTACCCACTCGTTTATGCGTCATCCATCCGTTCATTCATCTGTTCGTCCATCCGTACATGTAGTCAATATTCACTGACATAAATCCTAGTGAAGGTCAAGTGTAATCTCTTCAGAAGTGATGTGGATTCTCCTCCAAGAAAATGATTCTGTGTTACCACGCTGTCCCAGAGACCATCACGGCGCCCCCAGGGCACCTGGGCGCAAGCCTCGTGCGGTGCCCGCGAGAGCCCGCTACTCACTCACCTTGGCACACAAACGAGGAGGGCGTTTCCCCGGGGTGGACTCGTCCCGTGATGAATATCACCTTCTGCTCCGCCCCTTCCCGAAGATTGTCTGTAAGGGAAAATAAAAGAAGGTTGCTACGGAAGTCAAGGAAAGCTGAGATGAGAGGTTGGTATGTGGGAAGGGGGAGAGTGGGAAATGGGCTGGGTGCTTTCCACTCATCTCTGAAATCATTGGGTTAGAATCATTAAGGCCCAGCCATTGCTGACTAATTTAATTATGTCCCTGGCTACCCAATATTAAGAGACTACGTCCCATTCCTTGATGTACCTGACTATATTAATATTAAAGTCATCTAAAGAGATCATATGAGGAATAAATCCCAGATCCACTATTACCCTGGGCAAGCTGTGTATCCATTCTGAGTTTTAATTTGCTGATCTATAAATGTGAATAATAACATTTGCTTCATAAGGTTGTAGTAATGATTAAACAAGCTAACATATTGCCTAGTACACAGTAAATAGTCAGTAAATAATGAAGTAAAGAAGGCAGTTCTTATATTTGTAATAATAGCAGCTGGCCTTTAATTAGCTCCTTTTGTATCAGACACATTATACACATTATTTATAATCCTTACTGAAACACGTGCATTAATACTCCTTTCTATAGAGGCAGAGACTGAGTCTCAGAGAGGTCGTATAACTTGTTCAAGAACACACAGATAACAGGGGGGAGAGAATAAAATACAACCGAGGCGCTGTGAACCCACACAGGGCTAGGAATCATTTGAATTCCCATCATTTGGAATTACTTCATTGATTGTTCATTACTTCAGGCAATCAGTAGAGAACCCAGAAGGACCATGCCTTAGTGGTCCTTCTAGAATGCTCTAGACTACCAAAGTTTAAAAATAAATCTTACAAGGATCAAAACTGAACAAAAGAAACTTAACTGCCTGCTATGTAAAGTCCAACTCTCTTTAAGGGAAGATAACAGAATCCAGATGCACAACCATGTATAATCCACAAAATCCAGCTCCAAGAAAGAAATTATTAGATATGCAGAGAAGTAGGAAAATGTGGCTCTGAATCAGGTCCAAGGTCTTGCTGCATCTACAGCAGTCTCACTTGTATTAAAAAAAAAAAAAAAAAAAAAAGATCCGCTGCTGTGCACAGATACTGTTAGACAAGAGCAGCAGCCAAGAGTGGCCTTCCCAGAAAGAAGGGGCGGGAAGAGGGTACTTATCCATGGGTAGAAGAAGGACTGATTGACCCAGGACAGAACAATGACCCATAGTGAGTTCAGGGATGAACATTGAGAGAAGTTGGATTAAAGGATTCTGTTTATGTTAGAGGATGAACTGGAGGGAGGTCTGCAGTTAAAAATAATGAATAGGATTTCAGTTCTGAAATGCTAGAGGTAGATTATGTTGAATGCGGTTTATGATCCCAACTTTTGATATACCAATGTCAGAGACGAAAATAAAAACTAGTAACTATTATGTCTAGTTCTAAGGGCTTGGGACTTTCCTGTTGGGGTGACCAGAAGAGGTTGTGGTCACTGCTTCCTTAATAAGACATATAATGGAGTCAATATGCTTTTGAGAACTGACTGTGTACTCAGCTCTATGTTAGGCACCTTTAGGAACAAAGAAAGAAACAAGACTCATCTTCTGTAAAGAAGATTATGGTTTAAAAGAGGAGTTAGACACCTGAACTTTTCCTAGACCGAATATAAGCTCCTCAAGAGAGAAACAGTGACTTTCACTCTGTATTTTTAATGTCTTTCCCAAGATCCTGCATAGAATAGGTGCTCAGAAACTGGCTGTCAAATTAATAAATAAAAATACTCACATAGATCATGGCTTATAAAGAAATTTAGACACACATTATCTTATTTACTCTTCATCATGCTTCTGTGAGCTACAGAGTATTGACCCCATTCACAAGTGAGGGAACCAAGGCTTAGGGATGGAACAGACATGCCCAAGGTCATGCAGCTAGTTCAGGTGGTCCGGCCTCGGCTCCCAGCCCAGTGTGTCTCTCACCACCTTATCTGTCTCCTCCCACAGGAGGAGGGATTCTACATCCTCTGCATTTCCATCTATAATGTATACAAAAGAGTTTGGCTTTATCCACTATTCCTTGTACATGTTGAAATATTGTCTTAGTATTTATATTGCTTTATCCTTAAAAAAAAAAAAAGCCATGAAGCCCTTTAAAAAAACCCCACAGAACATTGACCCCATCTATCGCGGCAGTTCAGAAATGAGTAACAGCATTTCCAGGGTCCTCGGTGAAGGCTGCCTTTATGGATGTCTCCCCTGACCCAATATCAACTCAATTGCACGCAGCATTTCTGCTGACCTCAGGAAAATGCAAAATGGGCATTCTATTTGCACACTAATTTTACTGAGCCCCAGCGTCTTCATAAAGCGATAACGTGGGGCTAATAAAAAATCAGGCATCTCGGATGCTAATATAAGCAAATGTTGATGCAGGCAGGTAACAAACTGCTTTGTCATTTAGGAGGCTGTAAAAGAGCATAATAATCATCTTTAGGCAAAATGGATGGGTCGCCTTTGCTTAGCTTTTAGCTTTCATTTGCAAAATCAATTTAAGGTAATGTCACTGCTCGGAGGTGGTGTGACATGGGACACCCCCCCCCCCCTTCCTGTCACCAAATCCCCAGACTAGTGCAAAGCCAATTACACATATTTTTGGAGGAGGGAGCAGGGAGGATGAAGGAAGTGCTTGAACAAAGCCAGGGTGGAAAAGAAGCTGAACAATGAGGACAAGGACAACCCATGAGGGATGGTAAACCTGGAAACACAGGGAGGGTGTCACTCAAGGGTACAAGGCCCCTATCAGGCTCCTTAGTTAACAGAAGGTGTTTGAAGTCAGGTGTGCTTATGTAGCACCCCAACACACACACACACACACACACACACTGGTTTGCCATCGTATCCCTCTGTCATCATCTACTACATCCTTATTTATAAAATATTTACTGAACACCTACCTCTCAGTGGCCAGGCACTAGCTATTAGTATCTTCATTTTGTAGACAACCCCGGGGTGGGAGACATTAAGTGACTTGTCCTAGCTCTCCCAGCTCATGGCTGGCAGAGCCTGAGTCCCCACCCAGGTGGTCTCACACCACAACCTGTGTTTGTACCCTCTAAGTCATTCTGCCTCCTGTGAAGGAGGATGAAAATATTATCCAGTTATAATAGCAATTAAATAATGTTTATTCAGCACTTATTCTGTGCTAAGCACTTTACATGTATGATCTGATTTAATTTTCATGGCAACCAGTGAAACATCTACTATTCTCACCCATATATTATAGATCAGGAAATTGAGATCTGGAAAGGTTAACTGACTTGTCTGAACCTGCGTGAGTTGCAAATGTGGGAGCCAGCTCTCCCGTGCTCTTTATGAATCTCAAATTTACATTCTTAAGCACCATGCCATATCATCTCTTGAAGATTAAAATAGGGTCATTAGGGTGGTCTTAAAAATACACCCACAAATTCTTTGTTTGCCTCCTCCCTTCAAGAGGTAGAAATGAACTCTGCCCCCTCCTATTCCTTCCCATTCACTGAGGGCTGGACTTAGACACTTGCTCTAACAGAAAGGATCCTCTAAAAGGGGTGGTGCTCACTTTTGAGATTAGGGTATAAAAAGGCTGTGGCTTCCACCCTGAGTGCACCATCTCTCCCAGGAGTCACTTGCTCTGGGGGAACCCAGGTGCCATGACATGAGGACACTGAGGCAGCCTGTGAGGAGGCCCACATGGGGAGGCTCAGGTGGGGAGGCCCTGCCACCAGCCAAAACCACAGGAATGAGCTCAAAAGGGGGCCTCCAGTCCCAGATGACTGAGCCCTGGCTGACAGCTTACTGCAACCTCATGAAAGACCCACTGTATTCCTGAGCCAAAGAAATGGAGAGAAGATAAATGTTAAATGTTTGTAGCTGCTGAATTCTAGAGTAATTTGTTAAGTAGCAATAGATAACTAATTAATCTTATCTCTTGATGCCAGCCTGAGTAAGGACCAGAGCCAAACCCTGTGCCAAGATGAAGAGCCTCAAATGCTCTGGTCAATTATCAGTGGATCTGTGGGTGGTGAAGGTACTAAGAGATGCCAAGAGGCCCCAAAGCACACAAGCCAGGCCCTCTAAGAAGAGAAATCTCCCCAAATTTCACATTATCAGTTTGGTTTCCCTAGTTCTTCTGACAATAGCTTGTCGTGGTGAGTGTCTGAGCCTTTTTCACTTTCTAAGAGAATTTCCTCATAACTGTTTCTAAACCAGACCGGTTACAGCCTTTTCTTCAATATCCCAGGGCCCCCAAAGGTCTGCACAACTACCAAGCTGGAGAAAAAGAAATCCTGATGCCAGTGACAGCATGGGTACCTGGTGTCACTTTGAGGGCCCACTCAAAACTGGAATAGCCTTGTCACTGGTGCCAGTGTCAACACCATCCCTGTTAGTCCATCTTTCACCTGGCCACCAAAGTGGAACTTCTAAAACGCACAGGGTAGCATACCCCTCCCCCTGTTTACAGCCCTTCAGCAGGGCTCTGCTGTCCTCCAGGCAGGTCCAGTCCCCTGCCCCCTGCCCCTGCCATCCCTAGTCTCTGGTGGCCCCTGCACAGACCCGAGCTGCAGCTCCCCCTCGGCAGCCCCAGGAGCAGGCCGTGCTCTCCTGCAGCTCCGCACCTCTGTGTTTTCCTCTCCCCCAGAATGCCAGCCCCCCCCACCGCCATCTCGTCTGTCTGGCTCACTCCTACTCAGCCTTCCAGACTCTGCTCTGAAGTACCTTTTCTGAGAAGGGAGTCAAGAAACATACACTCATCCAGGACTTGCCCTTGGCCAACCCTGGTGTTAATGTTGTATCTGATTCCATCAGCACAATAATTCTGTGCTTCCCCCTACAAACTTTGTCACGTTGAAGGTCACCTAAGGATATCCTTCTGTGGTTGATACTGACAATGAAGAGAGATTGGAGATCTGAATTATAGCGAGAACATGCTGAAGGTGCAGAATTTCTTGTATATAATTTTATGAGAAAATGTAGGAGGCATCGGCAGAGCTTTCTGGGGGGC